GGCCAGCTCCCCTGTGTCTGTCTGAGTTTGCATAGGGGCAGACTCCCACTGGGGGCCAGCTCACCTGTGTCTGTCTGTCTGTCTGAGTTAGCATAGGAGCAGACTCCCACTGGAGGCCAGCTCCCCTGTGTCTGTCTGTCTGAGTTTGCATAGGAGCAGACTCCCACTGGGGGCCAGCTCCCCTGTGTCTGTCTGAGTTAGCATAGGAGCAGACTCCCACTGGAGGCCAGCTCCCCTGTGTCTGTCTGTCTGTCTGTCTGTCTGAGTTCGCAGTAGTAGCAGATTCCCACTGGAGGCCAGCTCCCCTGTGTCTGTCTGTCTGAGTTTGCATAGGAGCAGACTCCCACTGGGGGCCAGCTCCCCTGTGTCTGTCTGAGTTAGCATAGGAGCAGACTCCCACTGGAGGCCAGCTCCCCTGTGTCTGTCTGTCTGTCTGTCTGTCTGAGTTCGCAGTAGTAGCAGACTCCCACTGGAGGCCAGCTCCCCTGTGTCTGTCTGTCCTTTCTTCATTCCTCTGCCACTCCGAGTCAGGGTTCCAGGATTCAAGCTGCATGCATGGTTAACAGTTTCCATTCACGTATGTAATGTGCTTTGGTCATGTTCCTGCCACCTTCACTTGTCTCCTCTCCGTGTCTTCTGATCATCTTTCTTCTCTACTGCTCTCTCCACGTGGCTTTTACTCGTTTTCCAGCTTAGCCAAACAATCTCTCTTCCCGTAGCTGTGCCCAGCTGAAGAGCATGGCCCTGTCATACGCAGAAGCATGCTCCAGGCAGGGAGTTCTAGATGCAGTAGGATGCTGGAAGCATTGTTTCCAAGTTGTTTAGCCCATCCCGTATCACGCCAGGTACCCTTTCGTGGCCTTCCACTCTGCCTTTGTTCCAACAGGACTGGACGTCGGGGGTGTGCACATACAGACTCAAGTTGTCATCGTTGTGGATAACCTGCACAAGCTGGAAACGGAGCAGCCATATACTGTGCATAGCACAGGGGTAAACTCCACATTACAAAACAGGCACCAATTTCCAAGTAGCCAACAGTTGATGCAAAGTATCTACCACATTAAAACCCTCCCTTTTAGTGGGTATGGTAGTGCATACCTGTAAAACCAGCACTCAGGAGACTGACACAGGCCAACTGTAAGTTACAAGCAAGCCAGGACCAGTCTCAGCCACAAGAGACTCCCTTCTAAAGCCCTTTAAAACCAGGGCTAGAGATGGCTCAGAGGTAAGCGCATACTGATCTTGTCAAGGACTTGAGCTCAGTTACCAACACCCACATCAGGTGGATCACAATTGCCTGTAATGTCAGCTCCAGGGGGTCTAGCAACCTCTTCTGGACTCCACAGGTGCATTCACATGGGTACATTACCCATCCCCCATATATAAATATCTGTCTATATGTGTGTGTGTGTGTGTGTGTGTATGGACATATATATATATATATAATTTAAAAATAAATTTTTTAAAAAAACAACAAAACTCCTTTTTCCTACTCTGGAGATTAACTTGGCCTTCAGGTATAGTATTAAGTTGAGCCAATTTAATTTGTTTTTGGTTTTTGAGACAGGGTCTCTCTACAAAGCTCTGGATGTACTGAAAACTCACTCTGTAGACCAGGCCAGTCTCAAACTCACAGAGATCACTGCCTCTCAAGTGCTGGGATTAAAGGCATGTACCAGTGTGCCTGGTAAGTTGAAGCAATTTGAAGGGGAACTTACCCAATGTTTCATTCGTAAGTAATGTTTACTGTAGGATTTTATTTTGTATATACCTTTGATCAGTTCTAGGAAATTATCTTCAATTTCATGGCAAGTTACCATTATTTTCTGTTAGTGAGCTAAAAACTGTCACTAAAAACTACCTGAGATAACTTGAAAAAAAATCCCACATTTGCTGTGTGTGAGAGCATGCACAAGCTCACCACTGCACAAGAGTTGAGGTCAGAGGACAACTATTCCTTTCCACCGTGTGGATCCAACTCTGGCCGTCAGGCTTGGCAGCAAGCGCCTTCACCCACTCAACACTCACCGGTCCATCAGCCAACTGTAAGGAAGTTTACTTGCGCTCATCTTTCCAGAGGTTTCAGTTCATGATTTGTTGGTAGCATTGCTTTTTATTCTGTTTTTCACACGTGTGGAATATGCACGTGTTTATGTGGATGTGTCGGGTGTGCTGGGGGGAATTGTGTAGGTGGATATAAGCAGAGAGAAGAAGGAACAAGTCACCGCCGCACCTCACCTCCTTAGGTCTCAGCAGACAAGAGAGTGAGCTCCTGTTTCTCCCTCCCTGCCTACATCCTGTTTCCGCCCAGCTACCTCACTGTTCCATTTATTTGTCCCCAACCTTAAAATTTAAAAAAAAAAATCATTTTTCAAGGTTTGTGACTCTCCCAGCCAGCAGATGCCAGCTGGAATAGTCTAGGTAAGTGCTGGCTTTGCCCTTGGCCCCCGAGGGCACCGCAGCTCAGGATTCAGGTGATGGAAGGTGGTGGGTTATGACCATACTCTGTTTAAGGGACATTAGACATCCATCCTCTCCCAGAACATGGGCAATGCTTTAAATATAAATGTGTCCCAATTATACCCCCTCCCCATTTTAGTAAGGTTATAAAAGAAACTGCGTATTCTTTCCATGGACATTTTTTTCTCTCCAATCACGTTAGTTTATCCAAGGTCTCTAGGCCATCCAGCGTCTGGGTCCTGGCCCTCCAGGCATGTCAGGGGTAGGCTCACTCTCGTGGCATGGATCTCAGGCTGGGTCAGTCACTGGCTGTCCACTCTGACTATGTCTGTGCCACCCTTACCTAGCACATCCCATAGGCAGGACAGACTATAGGTCAAAGGTTGTGTGGCTGGGTTGGTGTCCCAATCCCTCCACTTGCCTGATGGCAGGAGATGGTCAGCTCAGGCTATGCATCCACTATTGCTAGGAGTCTTAGCTGGGGTCATCCTTGCAGTTTCCTAGGAGTTTCCCTAGTTTCTACCCTCTTCCAGTACTTTCTCCCTCCAGCTACCTCGTAACCTGATCCAAGTTCCCATCACCACCCACCCACAGTCTCCTCATGAGATCTTTCCTTTTCCCCCTTTCCTGGGAGATCTATGCATCCCCCCTTCTTGGGCCCTCCTTGTTACCTAGTCTCTCTGGGTCTGTGAGTTGTAGCATGGTTATCCTTTCATTTACATCTAATGATCACTTATGACTGAGTACATACCACGTTTATCTTTCTGGGTCTAGGTTACCTCACTCAGATTGATTTTTGTAGTTCTATCCACTTGTCTTCAAATTTCATTGCTTTTAACAGCTGACTAATATTCCATTATGTAAATGTACCACATTTTCTTTATCCATTCTTCAGTTGAGAGACATCTAGGTTGTTTATAGAGGTTCTGGCTATACAAATAAAGCTGCTATGAACATAGTTGAGCAAGTGTCCTTGTGGTATGATTATCCTTTGGGTATATGTTCAAGAGTGGTATAGCTTGGTCTTGAGGTAGGTTGATACCCAATTGTCAACGTAATGATGCCTAAAGATATTCTGCTATACTCATAGATTGGTACCTACCCCAAGTGTTATCAGAGAGCCTGCATCCAGTAACTTATGGAAACAGCTGAGACCCTCCCTGTGCTCAGGGAGGAAGTATTGCACAAATCAGAGGGGTCAAGGACATCACAAGAAAACCCACAGAAACAACTAATGTGGGCTCATAGGAGTTAAGAATTTGAACCAACAACTGGGATGCCTGCGTGGGACCTAACTAGACCCTCTCTCTACACACATGACAGTTGTGTAGGTTGGCCTGCTCATAGGACTCCTAATAGTGGGCGCAGGGGCTGCCCCTAGTGCTTTGACCGGCTTTTGGGAACCTGTTCATCATGCTGGATTGCTTTGCCTAGCCTTAATACAAGTGGGGGGGGGGCTGCTCAGTCCTACCGAAACCTGATATTGATATGTCACATTTTGTTAGGAGAAGCCCATGAGCGTGGGGGCGGGGTTTGGAAGGGAGGTGGGGGGAGGAAGTGGGAGGAAAAAAGGGAGGGGAAACTGGGGTTGGGATGTAAAATAAATAAAGTTAACTAATGAAAAAGAAAGAACTATGTATTTAAAGCTGGACATGGTAGTACATGTCTGTCACACAGTACTTGCACACAAGACCTTGTGTTCCATTAAAAACAAAACCAAAAAAAAAAAAAAACCAAAAACTACACATTCTGTGGGTGTGGTGATGCACACCTTTAATCCCAACACTTGGAGGCAGAGGCAGATGGATTTCTATAAATTTGAGGCCAGCCTGATCTACAAACTCCAGGCCAACTAAGCCTATATAGTGATACCCCGTCTCAAAAGACAAACAAAAATCACAGCTGCCTATTCAGCTATTATTGGAAATGCAATTCTCCCTAAACACCTGTGGGGAGAGTTCAAACAAGCTAGTAACGATAGCATTAATAGTTTGCAGCGGGTACTTTGGAGTGTTAGTTCCTGTTTTTTACCATTTTTTAGTAATGACATGCTTTCCATTGAGTTTACTCATTACTCAATAGCTCAGGTTTTCTTGTGTATTTTTGTGTACATTTGTGCAGACAGGGGTGTGAGCATATGCGCTGAGGTCAGAGGTCAACCTCAGACACTCCTTATGCTTGAGGCAGGGTCTCTCTCAGAGTCTGGGGCTCTGCCTGTCTCCATCTCTCCAGCGCTGGGGTTGCAAGTGTGCACCGCCACACCTGGCTAGGGCTGGCACTCAGGTCCTCAGGGCTGTACTGTATCAAGTGAGCCACCTCCCCAGTCATGCCCTCTCCCTCAAGTACCACCAATAATGCTGGAAATGTAGCCCAGAAGTAGAGAGCCTGTCCAGCATGCACAAGGCCCCAGACTCACTTGCACCAACGGATGTGTGTGAATGTGGGCTTTACAGTGAAGGGCTGCAAACAAGACATACGGAAGGAAGGGCAAAGGGGAAAGAAGCTACTGTGGGTGGCTGGTCAGCCTGGGCTACATGACACCCCGCCTCAACAAACAAGCTAAGGGCTACCTTAGTTCTGCAGCATCTTCCAAAGGACTGTCTGGATCTAACTAGGTCCTCACCATGACCTAAAATGTGTGTGTGAGAAAAGCGTGCCAGGATTCCCTCGGCTCCCACGAACAGGATCCTATTTTAAGAGCTGTAACCACTCACGCACACTGACCCTTTGGTCCTGTCTAGCACCCTGTGTGTGCTACCCACATAATGTATGACACACCACTTCCTGGAAGTCCATTTCCCCCACAGGCGCTAGAGCTTCTGCGATGCTCATGAAGTCCCATAAAGCAACTTTTAGCTTAAGAGAATTTTAATCAACCAGTATTCTTGATTTGGCCATCAGGCTAGCAAATCTTTTTTTTTTTTTTTTTTTACAATAATTAAGTCTTTGGTCTGGTACGTTAAAATACGATTGATAATTTAAGTTAATACAGAAGTTCATTATATTTTAATCATGTCCCCGAATAACAGTTCTTGTTAAATGACTTCATTTGTAGAGCAGGGAAGGAAAATCCTGTCACAGTCAAGGGAGAACTGTGCTAAGACTTGCACAGCTTTTCAGCTTTTCCTATGGGCTGACCACACCGTTCACCAGGTTACGGGACTGAGAGGGGAGGAGACCGAGTTTGCCTGTCTTCTGCGAGACAAAAGGAACAGAACTCTAAAGGTATGGGGTCCACAGATCACCCAGCCTGACCACAGAGGGAGCTTATGAATATTAACCAACATGTATTGCATGTAATAAAGATATTCAAAAAGAGCCGTGGGTGGCTCTGGGTAGAGGCGCCTTGGATCCCTGGATCCCACAAGGTGGCAGGAGAGAACCCATCCCTGACCGCTGTCCTCTGGACTCCACACCCTTGCCTGCACACACAAGACTTTTCTTAATTAAAAAAATACAAAAATAAAACCAGAAAAGTGAAATACAGAAAGTTTAAAGCTACATTAACAAACCACCACTTTATTAGACCAGTATAATTCCTACCTGAATTGTAAATGCAAAAAGTATAGCTCTTGGCCCTCAACAAAGAAACTTTTCTTTGTAACAGAGACCACGACAGAAAACCACAAGGAATCAAAATGAAGAGAACAAGTTATCATGCGGTGCCTTGTCCCAACTCATCCAACAATAATGTAATTCCTGCACCTAAGGCTCGGAGAACATCTCAGAAGAGGGGGCAGGAAGACTGTAAGAGTCAGAGGACCAGGATGCAGGCACCTGGTCTGTGAACCTGTAATGGTGGCCACACCCCTTGGGTATGGCTTGATGAGGATGGAAGCGGACGGAGGGAAGGGACTCCTTTACTCTGTCTTTCTGGTGGGTCAGCCGATCTGTTAGGAAGGGCAGGGAAGCCGCTTCTGCGGTTCTTTGTATTTCTGTGTAACTGTTCCCCAATAAACACCCATTTATCATTTTTCTTGGGTCTAGTGAAATAATTACATCCTCACCTTCATCAGGAAGTCTGCTGTGAGATTTGTCTCCTAGAAACGTCAGGGAGGCCACACCCACGAAGGCTGAACAACATGTCTGCCTAAACAAAATCAGAACAATGACACCCCCAGTGAACACGCTAATGTGGAAGGGAGAAACCTCACTTGTCTCCCACCCCAGACAAAAAACTACGGAAAACTAAAGAATGCTGAGAGCAGAAGAATTAAGTCTTTCCCAGGAGAGAGCACTCCTACTGGCGATCCAATACCAAATAGTCAGTTCTAAAAACATACCTACAAGTAAGGCATAAGGACTGCGCGGACTGTATGTGAATGAAATTGAGAGCAAGAATGGCGGCACACGGGAGGGGTTGGTGGAAAGGGAAGGTGGAAGTTATACATCTGTATTTTCTTTCAAAGTCACTTTAAAAATTGTATTAATGGCCGGGCGGTGGTGGCGCACACCTTTAATCCCAGCACTCGGGAGGCAGAGGCAGGCGGATCTCTGTGAGTTCGAGGCCAGGCTGGACCGACAGCCTCCAAAACAATACAGAGAAACCCTGTCTCGAAAAACCAAAAAAAAAAAAAAAATTGTATTAATGATTAGCCAAGAAGACACAGTGGTACACACCTTTAATACCAGCACTTAGGAGGCCAGCCTGGATTACATAGAGTTCCGGGCCAGCTAGAGCTACATAGTGAGACCCTGGATCAAAACAAGAAGTTTTCTCACTGATGAGGGAAACGATCCTACCAGGCGCTATGAGAAAAGTTGACCGAGGAAGAGGACACCCAGAGTGAAGGATTACTGCAGCTGCCCACCCTGCCACAGGCTGCAGGCCTAGGGACACGGGGAGAGCACGGACAGCAAGTTCTATCACTGCCTTCGTGATGGGGAAATTCAGTCTCAACTTCTCTGCAGGATGCCTTTCAACCTCTGGTAACGTGAATGAACCAGCCCACTTCACCACAGGGAAACAGGGTATTTTTGTGACATAAGGCATTAACAGAATTGAGGACACTCGGCCTGAGCACCGAATGTGGACCTTTCCTTGAGTGATATACCTAACAGAACTTTCTAAAGCCTTCCTCCTATACCTCTGTGCTCTTGGGTTTTATGTCAACGAGAAACAAGCCAGAGTATTCAGAGATGAAGGAGCCCCAGTTGAGAAAATGCCTCCAAAAGACAGTGCTGCAGGCAAGCCAGTAGGACATTGTCTTAATTACTGACTGATGTGTCCCACTGTGGGCGGGGCCATTCCAGGGTTCTGTGAGAAAGCAGACAGGGCACGCCAGGGGAAGCCAGCCAACCTCTCCACACAATCTACACTGGCTCCGGCTCAAGGTTCCTGCCCTTCGTGAGTTCCTGTCCTGACTTCCTTCAAGGATGGACTACAGTGTGGGAGTATAAACCAAACAAACCCCTTCCTCCCAGACAGGCTTTAGGTCATGGTGTTTCGTCACAGCGACAGTACTCTTAACTGGGACAACTGTGCAGCAGTCTGCGACCCCCTCAACTCACAGCTGGAAATGACCCAGCCTGTTCCAGACTGGGAAGAAAACACTAGTGACACATACTTCTAACAGTGTCAGAATCTATCAATTAATGAGATGGACATTCCGTAATAAATTCCAGAGTTCTTAAATGAGTACATCACTTCCCCCAAACATAATGGAAAGCCATCCTGAGTTCAAGAATAACTCAGATCAAAATTCTCTGGTTGTAAACTACTTCAGAGGCTGGGGCAGAATTGTGGATGAAGGCCAGCCTGAACTACACAGGAAACAGGACACCCTCTGATGAGTGGTGGGGAGAGGGGTGGAGGAGAGAGAGGAGGAGGACTCAAACAATCCAGCTCCACTTACTTATTTATTGAATTTATCTATCTATTTATTTATTTATTAAGCATTCTAGCTTCATCTATTTATTTGTTTGTTTATCGATTGGCTTTTTGAGACAGTGTCTCACTATGTAGCTCTGGCTGTCCTGGAACTCGCTCTGTAGACCAGGAAGGCCTTGAACTCACAGAGATCCACCTGCCTCTGTCTTCCCAAAGCTGGGAATTAAAGGTGAGTGCCACCATACCCAGGTCATTCCAGCTCCTTGAAAGAGGCAGATGAGCAGGTGGCCCCTGTGCTCGTCCCTCTAGCTGAAGCAATAGCTCTGCACACCCACCCTCCCCAGCCACAGCTCCCCAAGGAGGCCAAGGGATCAGCCGTGAAACCTCCCTAGAGTACTCACAACACACTCGGTCTGAAGCGTGGGTCATTTATTGAGTTCCAGAACAGGCTCAGTGAGTGCAGTGTGCTGAGTGACCTTCCACAGCCAGGAGGAACGAGCAGCTTCGAGTTTTGCTGCACTGTTTATATCAGTTTGCCTGAAATCAAAAACCTTAGAATCAAACCACTTTAGCCTATAGAAGACTTTTTAAGACTTGCCTTGGGGCTCTCAGAAGCCTTTTTGATGATAGAGATCAACAGAACTCCACCCCACTTTCTCTGATCATAAAAGTGTGTTTCTTTAAGCTGTTACTTTTTAAATGACGAGAAACTAATGAGAAGCGGCTGCACTTAGACGCATCCTCTCTGGAGAAGAGGACTCTGTGTTTCACTGCCTTCTGCCAGGCCTGGCAGAGATAAGCTCTGTAGTCTGCGTCTCCGTCGCCTGGGAACCTGGAGGAAGCAGGCTGCTCCGCTGAGTCCGAGGCTTTCTGCATTAGACTCTGCGTTGTTGTGAAAAGCACCAAGCGATACTCAGTGACGAGCCTCTCTAGCAGCTGCGAGCACTTCTTCAGCGTGGACTCCTGCAGGGCCACGCTCTCTCCTCCACTGGCGCGGTCTGTCCAGTAAAACGCTGACAGGCTGTCCACAATGAGAAGGCAGAGGGAGGGGTGACTACAGAACAGGGCTTCCAGAGAGTGCAGCGTGAGCAGGAGCTGCATGCTGCTGCTGCAGTAGGCCAGGAAGAATCTTCCCAGGCACAGCCTGATGGTTTCCTCAGAGCTTCGCGACAGTCTGTGCTCAAGGACGGTCACAAGCCGGAGCATGTCAAAGTGGTAATCTGTGTCAATAAATAAGACTTCTATTTGCAGCCCACCCTCTGATTTTGGAAGAATACATCGGGCTGTTAAATGATAAAGCATTTCTGTTTTTCCCGTTCCTTCTGGACCATGAAATTCAAGAATATCACCTGTGTAAAATTCAAAAATGTCAGTCAAGATGCATCCGTGCAACAGTGGGCCACAGAACAAGTCTCGGGGAGCTTTACAGAGAGATGTACTGGGATCTGAGCTAAAAATCCAAACCCACTTGTTAATGCGGATCTATCTGCATAGGCAAATGCAGATACATAGGCAAATTCATACAGGATCTCTGATAAAGGGCCCAGTTTTAAAAGGTGTTTTTGGGTTTTTTTTGGTTGGCATTGAGGATGAAATGCAGGTCCTCAGCTGTGGTAGGAAATGACGCTACCCCGGACCCGCACCCCCATCCCAGTAGTGAGAGACTAGCCAGCACCAAGAAAACATAAAAACGGCTGAGGGCTGAAGCGGTGCGAGGGAGGCTCCCAGAGATGGGCCTGTGTGCCTCAGGTCATTGTCACCTCACATTTTTAGTGGTTGAGCCTGACTTCAGGTCCCAGGGCCACATAGCGCTGACACGGTGGCACTCTTATGGTGAAATGGGGGACAGAAGCCCCACAAGCTTAGAATCCACCTGGCCTGCTGTACGGAGGAGTGCTGATGATCCCTGCCTCAAGGTGAAGGACACAGCTGACCACACAAGGCAGACACCTACAGCAGGCTTCCTACGTCTCTCAGGATCCTAACGCTGGCAGCCATGTAACTGAGGGCCCATCCCGAGCATCACTGATTGGATTAGGAAGTGCCTGGCCAGCGAGTAACAACTCAGGGCGTGTCAGGAGGTCGGCTATCACATCAGGTCATTCCTTGATGACCTCATATGATGGCATTATTGGGAAGTGGGAAGAGCAGAAGGTGGGACCCAGCGAAGGAAGCAAGTCACTGAGGTGTGTCTCTGGAGAACATCTTACCTGGCCACTCCCTGACCGCTAGAAGTGAACAAGTCTTCCATGTGTCCTTACCATGATGGTAGTACTGGCGCCAAGTGATCATGGACAGAACCCTCTGAAACCATGAGCCAGGGTGGATATTCCCTGTCCCGGTGACGTGAAAGTAGCTAATACATCACCTGATTGCATCTCCTTTTGCCTTCTCGAAGGCTGGGACTTGAAAATCCTAACCCCAGCACAAACAACACACCCAAATCATACTAAGAAATGCCCAGTGCTGGGGCTTGGTGGTTAAGAGCACCAACTGCTCTTGCAGAGGACCTAAATTTGATTAGCAGTGCCCGCATGGCACTTCATAACTCCAGTCTTAGGGGATCTAACACCCTGCTCTGACCCCCATGAGTACTGTATATATGTAATGCAGACATTCATGTAGGCAAAACACTCATACACATAAAATGGGGAAAAGGGGGTAATAAAAAAGAAATTTAAAAAGTTTAAGGTTAAACTCTTAGCTGAAAGAACATGTTCATGGATAATGTCACTTCTTTGTTACAGATTAATGGTAGGGAGGTAGAGAACATCACACTTGAATGCTGTCTCTATGTCTTCCAAAAACTCTAGCACCCTTACCTAGCTGAAGTGCTGAACATGGCAACTTGAACTGAGGAAGAAAAGAGGGAGGAGGAGGAGGAGGAGAAAAGAAAAAAGAAAGAGAAGAAAAAAAAAGAAACAAAAGCCCTGGAGCTTAGTTAGCACGTACAGCTGGGGTAATGGTTTGACCCTGACAGCTGCTCTCCAACAGACGCTAGGAGGAGGCGGGGCCAACAGGTGGAGGTCAGAGTCAGAGCTAGAGTCTTTAGAAAACCTAAGAAAAAGGCCACAACGACCTCCAGCCTAACTATGTAGCCAAAACATTGAATCTGCAGATCATAATTCCCAGTCTTCAGTAAACACCCTCCACCTGCAAATACATTAAAATATGCTTCCACAGAGCAGAGCCCAAGGATCTCTCTGTACCATAAACTTCCCGTAACAGACGCTGGAAGTGTTCCTGACTTAGAACCCCTGTCTTGTGTGTAGTTTGCCCACTGAGTTCCTGTTTACTTTTACAGCAAATATAAATGTGAGCACACACTTTTGGTAGTGACTAAACATGATAGTGTTTCTCAAAGTTTCTATAACATTTGAAGCAAAGATGTGCTATAAAACCTTGCTCTATACGCAGTTGACTTCCTCAGGTCTAACTCATGAATACAAATTCGTGTGAAATGACGTGCTTTCCCGTGGAGCACAGGGACAGAGCTCTGCGGTACCAGCAATCCCATACTCCTTTGCTCTGAAGGAAATGACAGTAGACAGGGCACAAAGACAGCAAGGCAGAGCGAGTATGCGACAGCAGAAGAAGAGACGCTTATGAAGGACGTTTATGTCTGTCACTCTTCTATCGGGTAACTGATCCACGGTTTAACCAGCAAGCTATTCAAATTACGGTGATGTCAATGCAAACTAGCTGTTATAAATGAGGACACTTGCTAATGACTAGGACAAATAGTTTAAAAATATGAAAGAGAATGGCAAGGGACTTAAAAGAGTATAGCAGAGGGACTAGAGAGATGGCTCAGCAGTTAAGACCACTGGATATTCTTCCAGAGGACCCAGGACCCAGTCGGTGGCTCACAAACACCTATAACTCCAGCTCCAGGGAATTCAACACCCTCTTCTGGCCTCCATGGGTGCAGACATCTAGGCAGACAAAGCATCCATACATATCATATAAAATAAGCAAATGTATATGTGTAGGAATATGGATGTGAGGCAGGCGCTTAGGGGAGCCAGGAGTATCTGTTCTCCCAGAGCTGAGATGGTTATGAACTGCCTGATATGGGTACTAGGAACCAAACTCTGGTTCTCTGGAAAAGCAGTCCAAACTCTTGACTGCTGAGCTATGTCTCCAGTCCTGATTCTTAAGTTTTATTTTGGTGTGCAACAGGATTCCTTTGTAAGGCAGAGAAGTATTTCACTGTATGCATATACCACTTTGTTCACTAGTGTGTGTGCATGTTTGAAAGTGTCACGTTGTAGCTAGGTTAGTCTCAAACAGCGTGCCGACGCTGGGTCGCAGGTGCCGGTCACCACACTGTGTTACCCTTTCAGCCGTCGGTGGACATTCGCTTGCTTCCACCTCACGGCGGTTTCGAGACGCAGCATCAGAGTTCCAGTAAGCTCTGTGGAAGCGCTACGCTGTTCTCAGTAACCACAGTACCATTTTCCTGTCTTAGCAGAGGTACAGGCCAGTCCTGGTTTCCTCGCAGCCGTGCCAACACTTAGTGTTTTGCTTTTGTTTTAAATAATGTCATTCCTATGGGTATGAGGTATAAAGAGCATTTTATAATGATGAATGGGTCAGCCAGCAATAAGATAATAAACTTTTGTATGTGCAATACTCAAAGCCCTAAACGCAGGAAGCCAGGTGGATGGAAGAGAAGTGAGAAAAAGACAACAGCCAGAGATGTCAATAGCTTACCTAGAAAACGGAAGAGTAGATACAGCAGCCACAAACAAGTGCAGCGAGGAAGCAGACATTAGCACTAAGAGCCAGCTGGAACCAAGAGCCATCTAGACAGCACTTGGCCTGGGCACAGGAGAACACACAACCTTCTACCCGTCAGGCCACAGTACCAGCCTCAGGAAATGTAGTAGGGCTGAAACCAAAGAGGCATTCGTTCCCAACCAGAAAGAGTGAAAGAACAAACCAGTGACAAACTAGAGATCTTTTGTTCATTTTTTGAGGCAGGATCTTGCTACATACAACAAGCTGGCCTCAGACTTTGAACTTCCTGCTTTACCCTTCCCTGGTGACTGACGCTGTTGCTTGCGTAGCAGGCTGTCACTCCAAACTGACCGGGATGCTGGAGCCCAAAGACACACCGACAGTCAGGGGATGCTGGAGCCCAAAGACACACCGACAGTCAGGGGATGCTGGAGCCCAAAGACACACCGACAGTCAGGGGATGCTGGAGCCCAAAGACACACCGACAGTCAGGGGATGCTGGAGCCCAAAGACATACCGACAGTCAGTCCTAGGATGTGGGGAATTTGGACCAGTCACTTCACCGGTGGTCACATGAAAGCTGCTCTAGAATCACTTACACGGTTTCTCCAAAGATGAAGCAATAGAGAGTTGCCTTATAACCTAACAATCTCCCTTCTAGGTGTAATCCCAAAGGAACCCAAACCCTACCCATCCACAGAAAAACTTGTACATGAAACCATGGCAGCACAGTTCATAGCTTCCAAAATTCAGAAGCAATCCAAATGGTTACCAAGTGGTAGCGCACTCACATGTGAGACCATTCAGCACTACAGAATTGGCTGCTGGGCTGGAGGGATGGCTCAGTGGCTAAGAGCACTTACTGCTCTTGCAAAGGATCTGGGTTCCATTCCCAGCATCCGCATCATGGCTCACAGACATCTGTAACTCCAGTAGGAAGCAGGGATCCATGTGGTACACAGACATACACATACGCATAAAATAAATAAATCTTAAAGGGGGAGGGGGTGTGGTGCTGATACACGCTACAAAGACCGATGTGAAGGACCACCTTAATTACGCGAGACCTCCAGAAAGGTAAAGTCCACAGAGAAAGCTGGCTATGGTTGCCCAGGGCTGACGACTAGTACAGATGGGTTCCTTTCTGGGGTGACAGTTACACAACTGTGTGACTGTACTAACGACAACTCAATTATACACCCAAATCCTATGCATTACCCTGGAACTAAGCTCCAGCTCTCAACCTTCCCTGCAAGCTTTCCTAGTTCCCAACAGGCCAGTCCCTATTTGTCCTGCTGGAGAAACAGCAACAGAACAACTGGGAGCCTCGGGGCTACCTTGTAGCTCTGCAAACTTCTAAAGGAAGAGGGCAAGAACTAGGCCAAGCAGAGTTCCCATGACTCCTGCGTGCTGGGAAAGAGACCAGTGTCTGTGCTGAGGACAGCGTCCCCCGGCAGAAGGAGCGCCCGCGGCTCCGTGTCCTGGCTGGTGTGCCTCACTTCTGGCCCACACTGCCTCCTTCCAGGCTGTGTGTGTGTGGACATGGGTGTGCAGGGACACGGGTGTGCAGGGACACGTGTGAGTATGTGTGTGGACATGGGTGTGCAGGGACACGTGTGAACGTGTGGACATGGGTGTGCAGGGACACGTGTGAGCATGTGTGGACATGGGTGTGCAGGGACACGTGTGAACGTGTATGTGGACATGGGTGTGCAGGGACACGTGTGAGAGTGTGTGTGGACATGGGTGTGCAGGGACACGTGTGAACGTGTGGACATGGGTATGCAGGGACACGTGTGAACGTGTGGACATGGGTGTGCAGGGACACGTGTGAACGTGTATGTGGACATGGGTGTGCAGGGACACGTGTGAGTGTGTGTGGACATGGGTGTGCAGGGACACGGGTGTGCAGGGACATGTGTGAGTGTGTGTGTGGACATGGGTGTGCAGGGACACGTGTGAACGTGTGGACATGGGTGTGCAGGGACACGTGTGAGTGTGTATGTGGACATGGGTGTGCAGGGACACGTGTGAGTGTGTGTGTGGACATGGGTGTGCAGGGACACGTGTGAACGTGTGGACATGGGTGTGCAGGGACACGTGTGAGCATGTGGACATGGGTGTGCAGGGACACGTGTGAACGTGTATGTGGACATGGGTGTGCAGGGACACATGTGAGCGTGTGTGTGGACATGGGTGTGCAGGGACACGGGTGTGCAGGGACACGTGTGAGCATGTGTGGAAGCTGCTCTCACAGAACTCCCTCCCACAGGCTAGTGCTGCCTAGTGCTGCTTTACCATGCACTGGAGAATCTTCATCAGCAAACAGGTTGGGTTCTAGATCTTTCAGGGAGCTTCTGCCTTCAAGCCGGGCAAGGAGCTTACAAAAGAAAAAGAGGAAAACTCGTTACTTAAAGGATACAACACCCTGGAAATGTATTTCTATGTAAATTTCAAAAACTCTTTAGCACCTTAACTCGAAGATTTAGAGGAAAATATTAAAAGGGAAATATAATTTAGGAAAAATATTATGTTTATGTTTAAGAGACTTTATTATCTATGTGTGTGCATATGGCATGTGTATACAGGTGCCCCAGGCCAGGGGAGGGTGTCGGACATCACTGTTTACTGGAGTAAACAGCGGTGGTGAGCACCAGTGCGGTTGCTGGAAACCTAATGGGTCCTCTGCAGGAGCAGCACACACTTTTACCTGCTGAGTCATCTCTGCAGTCCCTGATTTTTGTTTTGTTTTAAAAGATAGGGTCTTCCTATGTAGCTTTGGCTGGTGTGGAACTTGCTATAAAAGTCAGGCTGGCTTAAAAAACTCAGAGATCTAGTTGCCCTCTGCCTCCCAAGAGCTGGTGTTAAAGGCACATGCCACCATGCCTAGTCCTGCTCATTTATTTTTAAAATATTTAACTTTTTTATTTATATAACAAATGATGAAAATAAGTCTGAGCCCTCAAAGGAATAGATAGCAACTGTAGGGTTTTTTTGTTTTGTTTTGTTTTTTTGAGACAGGGTTTCTCTGTGTAGCTTTGGAGCCTGTCCTGGCACTCACTCTGTAGACCAAGCTGGCCTCAAACTCACAGAGATCCACCTGCTTCTTCTTCCCAAGTGTTGGGATTAAAGGCATGTGCCACCAATGCCTGGTGTAACTGTAGGGTATAAAGCTAAACTTCTGGTGGCAAACTTTACCACTGGTGTATTTTACAATAACATTTTTTGTACTTAAGCCAGTTATACAGTGGTCTGATTTGATTTGTCTCATTTTATCTAGAGGGGAGGGATCAAAGGGAACAGCAGAAGGAAGCTTCCCTGAGGAGCGCCAGGCTCAGCTGTATTTAAAAGTAAGCAGGAGTCCAAATACACAGGCCACAGGCAGGCGTAGCAGGCACGGGGGAGGGTGCAGCCAAAATGCATGAAGAGCATGGTGTGCAGGCAAAGCAAAAGCTGATCTGAATTGCAAGAGCTTGTTTCATGAACCAGGGAGGGTACTTGACTGTATTTAGAACCACTAAGGACATACCCCTGGGGTGTGTCTATGAGGGTGCTCCAGAGAGGTTAGACTGAAGAGGAAAGAACCTCTGAGAATGTGTGAGGTCCATCACAGGATACTAGACAGAATAAGAGAGAAAGTAAATTGAGCTGTAGGGCCCTAGTTTCCCTTCTGTTGCTCTGATAAAACACTCTGACCAAATGAAACTTGAGAGGAAAGGATTTAACTGGCTTACACTTCCAGGTCACAGGTCATCATTGAGAAAATCAGGGCTAGAAAAGCAGAAACCAGAAACAGAAACCATGGAGGAACACTGCTTGTTGCTCTCTGCCTCGTGTTCAGCTAGCTTTCTTAAACAGCCCAGGACCAGCACCTATGGATGGCGCCATCACAGTGGGCTTGGCCCTGCAGACGGATGGCGCCATCACAGTGGGCTGGGCCCTGCAGACAGATGGCGCCATCACAGTGGGCTGGGCCCTGCAGATGGATGGCGCCATCACAGTGGGCTGGGCCCTGCAGGATCAACTAATAAGCAGACAGTCCTCCACAGACAGCCCACTGACCAGTCTGCTCTAGGCAGTTCCTCAGCTGAAACTTTCAGGTGATTCTAGGCTGTCCCCCACAAAAGCGAACACTTTGCATCTTCCTTCATTTCCTAACCACGGATGCAGTGGGACCAACCATCTGTTAAGGATAAGTTGTGACCAAACTCCTGCTGCCATGAGTTCCCCACTTAAATAAATAAAAATAAACTCTCCCTTAAGTTGTTTTTGTCGGGCATCTAGTTGCAGCAACGAGGAAAGCGACTAACACAGAGAACGAGGAACCTGGCCACGTGGTTCTTGGGCGTTTGGAGCTGGCTGTATGCATAGCTTAACGGGTGGTAGTTTGGAAGGCCCAGTTCCCATTAGAAATGGGACTAGAGGCCCTTCAAGCTACATTCTAGCAAAGAACCTGGCTGCATTTTGAACTTGGGGGAGGCTGAATTACAAAGTGATGAATTTATTTGTTTGGCGGGGGAAATCTCAAGACTGGACAACATTTAGGCCATGCCCTGGTTACAGGCACACAAACTGCAAGGGGGTGGTGGAGTCTTAAGCCATAGTTCCAGAGAGCTGCTGAGACCAGGGATGCGTGGCAGGTTTGGAGGTCATTATGTGGAGCTGTGATGAAGCCTAAGTTTCAATAGAGACCTCAGAAGATGCAGGACCGCGAAACATCCCCCGTGAAAATCTGCAGCATGGAGTAGTTCAAGAGGGAAGTTATGTGTGTGGCAGGCCAGAGCCGAGATGGAGGGACTTCCCAGGTCCTTTGGAGCTGTTGGGATGTGACAGTCAGCCCTAACTGATGGCACTGTGTTTCTGCCTGCCCAGAAATGATGTACTCTATCCCAGCCATTAGAGAGCTCAGACCCGAGTAACGATGTACACAGGTCCCGTGATCACTAAAGAAACCAGCATGGAGCCAGGCATCCCTTTAGGGCTGCTGACCTGCTTTGGGATGTCCGGGAGATCCTAGCGGCCTGCGGTGAGGGGAGAGTAGGCTGTGAGGTCTTAGCAGCTGTCTTTGCTTCTGTAAAACCTGCTTGTCACTGTGGGAAAGGGATGGATGGTCTTCTATTACTAATCGTGGGAAGGTAAGAAACTGAGGAAATAAAACACATTCCTGCCCCGCTATGGGCTCCAAGGATAGTTGTGACACACACCCTTCTAACGTCTGCTTTTAAAACCCCGTCTTAACTCCATTTCAGCACAGCAGGCTGTTTGGCTCTAAGGCTGCCATCCCTCTGCTAGCAGTAAGAATAAATTCATTTAATCTAAATTTGACTTGTGCCCAAGTCCTTAGTTTCTTCCAGAGGATTCGAACATTACAACAGAGCCCCGATTCCGCCAAGAGTGCCAGGGACTAGACATGGAGCTAGACAGAGGGTTTAACATTTGTGCTGCTAGGTTTCGGCCTTGCTTTGGTTTGGCCTTTCCCTGTACTTCCATTCCTCCCTTCCGGAATGGGAATGCTCACTCCGTGCTACTGTATATTGGAAATATATTGCTTGGTATCTGATTTAGCAGGGGCCACAGTTAAGAGACTGCCTTAAATCTCAGAAGAGACACTAGCCTTTGAACACTGTTGGAACTGTTAGAGACTATAGGGATTCGACGTGGGAATAAATGCTTATTTGTACTGTGAGGTAGCCCTAAGTCATTGGGGGTCAGGGGCAGACTGCTGTAGCCTGAATGTAAAATGCTCCCTACCCCCATGGGCTCATGAGCCTCAACTGAAGTGAGGCCTGGCTGGAAGAAGAGGTTATTGGGGTTGGACCTTAAGGCTTCTTGTCCTCTGTTACCTGTTCTGCCAAGATATGAAGGGTGGATTCCTGGCTGCACACTCCTGCTGCCATGCCTTTCTCTCCACAACAGACTGCACCCTTACACTGTAAGCTGAAATAAACTCTTTCTAAGTTGCTTATCAGTGGTTACGACAACGAGAAAGGTCACTAACATACATGTTTGGGTAGACAGAAACAAAAGGTTTGAACCTAGGCAGCACGAAGCACTCTTCTGTAGTTGAAGATAGACACTTGGGACCGCAGAACCAAAACGCTAGGCCAGTTCCCCAAACTTCAGATTTCTCTTATTTCTCTTCCATTAAGAGAGGAAAGCAAAAAGAACTTCCTTTGTCAGGGATGGAATAACTACGATTCAAGTATGGGTTCACTATGGTCATTCCCAGCAGGTCATCCTGGTGGCTGCTAGGGTAGAGAAGGTTGGCTCTGTCACACTCCTCGGGAAGGGTGCTGCACCATGACAGATGTAGCTAATAGGGATAACAGGAAGCAGAATAAATGGCCTAATGTCAATGAGGGAAATGGATTCAAAGCCAGTTTTCAAATTATTAGGATATTTGACAATCCTGGCCACCATGGGCACAGGTACACATCACACACACACACACACACACACACACACACACACACACACACACACACACACACACACACAAAGTAACCTTCAGGGTTAGCAAGATGGCTCATGGGTAAAGACACTTGTCACCAGGCTGAAGATCAGTATCTGCCAGGTTTTATTACCATAACTACAGCTGCTGTTTGTGTTTACTGTGCTATCAGAGATGTGTGTGTGTGTACATGAGTGCATGTGTCCATGTCCGTGTGTGTGTCTGTGTGTATGTGTGTGATGTGTACCTGTGCCCGTGTGTGTGTGTGTGTGTGTGTATGTGTGTGTGTGTTTGTGTGTGTGTCCTTTAATTGCCTCAGCAATCTCATCTATTGTTATTCCAGAACTAGGATTCAATTACAATCTCTTCGGTTTCTAAAACTTAGAATTTTCTATTGTGCCATACAACCTTGGCGTCACTGTCAAGGTCTAATGAAATCTAAGCACAGGCACTAAGGGGAGTTTTTGGACCCATTAAATAGGAGGTCAAATCAATCCTGCCGAGGCAACTGCTTTTCCCCCTTTTTAGCCATCTCCACACTGAAACAAACACTGAACCTCCCTAGCAACAGCACATACACACTCTGCAGCAGGGACAGTACTCACTGCACAGATGCTCATCTCTAGTGTCCTATAAGCTGCGGTCTCTAGGCTCGTCAACAATGGCTGTCCCCGACAGGAAAGCAAAGAAAGGGGTAGTTGTTCAGTCCATGAAGCTGGATGTGTCACTGGTCTTTAGTATATGTCAGAATCCCAAAGTAGGTTGTAATCCCAGCAGAGGAATGCCTCAGCAGCAGGATAGATGACCCTGCCGAGAGAATGAGGGCAAGCAGGCAAAACACAAGAAGCTTCCTTCTTTCATGTCCTTTTATTTGGGCTGCCAGTGGAAAGTGTGGCCCAGATTTAGGGTGGGTTTTCCCACCTCAAAAG